AACTATGTACACATAAATCTGAAAACCTAAGTGAAATATGCCACTACCTCAAGAGGCACAAACACCTGCAACTTACCCAAGAAGAAGGCAATCCCCAGCCCTACAACTGTTAAGGAAGCCAATTTTTTAATTTAAAATTTTCAAAAAAAATAAATGTTTCTTTCTTTGACCAATTTGACCAAAAATTTAAAAGAGAATTAACACCAGTTTGATACAATCTGTTGTGGAAAATAGAAGAGGGGACAATTCCATTAAATTAAATATTTTATGGATCCAGTATTACTGTGACATCCAAATCAGACAAGTAAAAAAAAAAAGTACAAAATAGAAAATTACAGACCAATATCCCTCATGGATTTAGAGGCAAAACTCCTTAACAAAGTGTTAGCAACTAGAATTGGGAAATATGCAAAAAATAATTATACACAAAACCAGCAGGATGTATAGCAGGGATCAAGGCCAGTTGAATATTTGAAAAGAAATCAATATAACCATATTAATAGAAGAAAACATATAAATCATATCAATTGTTGCAGAAAATCATTTGACAAAATTCAACAACCACTCATGATAAAAACTCTTGGAGGGGCTGGGGATATGGCTCAAGCCGTGGTGCGCTCGCCTGGCATGTGCAGGGTGCTGGGTTCGATCCTCAGCACCACATAAAAATAAAATAAAGATGTTGTGTCTGCCGAAAACTGAAAAATAAATATTAAAAAATTCTCTCTCTCTCTCTCTCTCTCTCTCTCTCAAAAAAAAAAAAAAAAAAAACCTCTTGGAAAAAGACAAATGGAGGGGAACTTCCTCAGTGTAATAAAGAACATCTACAAAACCAAAAAACTTGGGCTGGGGATATGGCTCAAGTGGCAGCGTGCTCTCGCCTGGCATGCATGCGGCCCAGGTTCAATCTTCAGCACCACAAACAAACAAAGATGTTGTGTCCGCCAAAAAACTAAAAAATAAATAAATATCAAAATTCTCTCTCTCTCTCTCTGTCTCTCTCTCTCTCTCTCTCTCTCTCTCAAAACAAAACAACAACAACAACAACAACAACAACAAAAACAACCAAAAAACTTATAGCTAACATCATGCTAAAATGGTGGGGAATAAATGATAAATGCCCTCCTCCCCAGACAAGGTGGGAACAAAGGAAGGTGTCAGTTCTCTCCACAGCACTGGGCCCGGGGCCAGGAAGCGCACACCTGCAGGTGGCCTCGAAGGGAAACCACCAGTCCAGGCTTGGGAAGCCATGATATCTGAACTCATCTCAAAATTTTATTAAAATGAAGATTCCAAATGTCAGAATCTACAGAAACAATAACATTAGTAATCAGAGGAAAATTCATCCCCTTAAATAATCACAGAGCAAAAATTAAAGAACAGCATGCAACTCAAGAAGTCAGAAAAGGAGCCATATGATGGGGCAAGAGGAAGGAGCAGAGAAGTAATGAAGACCAAGCAGAAAGCAAAGGCTCCAGGAACCAACGCACAGAGTCACAGTGAGTTAGAACCCTGGGTTCATGAAGTCTATGAGATAGACCATTCACTAACTAGTCAAGGAAAAGGGGGAAAACACATAGGATTTAAAAAATGAAAGGGGGGAAAAACTCTGAGCCAGAGAGAAACTGAAGGGGAAAAAATGTAGCCCCACCTTGGCTTAAGTTTAAGAAAATAAATTAGAAAACCTAGATCAACTGGATCATTTCTAAGGAAAATATAATTTACCAAATTCACCTCGGGAAACTACAATGTTTAAACAGAACAATATCCACACAGAAACAAAGAAATTATCAAATAGAGAAATTATCCTTCAAAAACAGACCAGACATAGACAATTTCACAAGAATTCTACCAAATATTTAAAGACCAAGTAGTTCTAGTGTCACCTGAACTGTCCGTGTTTGTGTTGTGGTTGTGTGTGTGTGTCGTGTGTGTGTGTGTGTGTGTGTGCGCCCGCGCTTAATCTCTTTGGAGTTCCTGAGGGAAAAGAGGTGCTCCTTCTCAAAACTCAACACAATGTTTAACAAAGTAACAATGGGGGAAACTCTTGGGCAAGACTCCAAATTCAGCTGCCACATTATCAGAATCATGTTTGTATGTTTTTTTAAAGTTTCAATAAAGGAGGTATCCAAAGCAATTGCTTATTCACAACTTTCTTGACCAGCAATCTGGAAAAGAAAAAAATAAGTTAAATATTTTCTGTCCTAATATGATAGTTTGTAACTTTTCAGCGTTCAACTGTGCTTTAGTTCTTAGGAAATGGGGGTATTGAGTTACATGTAATACACTGTAATTTTTGCCATTTATAATAATGGGAAAGGGTTCAGGTACACTCCACAGTAGAGCTTTTACCTAGCAGGCACGAGACCCTGTGTTTGACCCAACACAAAAAAAATAAAATAAAATATGATAAAAATCAATCAATCAAATAATGAAAAATGGGATTCCCATTCAGAACACTGGGTTTTCAGGAATGCAGCAGTGAAGGTAAACAAGCAATAACTATATGGCACCAATATTCAAACCTTGTGATGTTTAAGTGTACCAAAGAAAGCTGCAAACACACCTCACCTCAAAGCATCAGTCCACAAATATTCCATAAAATATTAAAAGAATTCAACCACACATTAAAAAAATAAGCAAAATAACCAGGTCAGTTTTAAGGTTGCAAATGTAGTACCACATCAGGTAATTCATTGCCACGTGTCTTCATATTTATGGGGAAATTATGATCTCTATAGATGCTGAAAAGACCCTCAACCAAATTTGACATCTTTGCTAGATAAGAACATCAGTGAAGTAGGAATTGAGTTTCCTATTGAATTGAATTGATGGGTACTTAAAGGTGATCTTACAACATACTCCCCTGAGGCCCCAAACCATAATCATTAGCTTAGTATAGGCAAAAACAAGGTAAAGGTACTCTGGAACTCCACTGTTACCTTCAGAGTATTAGCCAACACAATCAGACAAACAAGGGAGCCTGACTCAGTAAGAAAGAGCACCAATAATATTCACAGAAGTTCTGAAACTATACTTAGAAAACAACAGAGGATCAACACTGAAACTAATAAACAATTTGAGGACTCAAAGTAGCAGGAAACATAATTAACATGAAAACCAAATGCTAGATTTCTGCTCCTAGCAGAAGGTAATAACAGGAATCAGATTGTCCCCAATTTCCAACAGTAGCTATAAAAACAGCAGACATTCAGAGAATGGAAAGCCAAACCAAAGATTGGGAGAAAACGCTTATAACACCCATATCCAATAAAAGACTTATATCCAAAATACACAAAGAACTCCTAGCACTCAACAACCATAAAATAAGCAACCAACTAAAAATTGGGCAAAAAACCTGAGTAGATCCTCACCAAAGAAGATACAGAGAGCAAATAAGCACATTAGAAGATGTTCTATATCCCAAGCCTCAGGGAGCTGCAAGTTACAAGGAGACACCACTGCACACCTCTCAGAATGGCTGAAACCCCAGCACTGACAATACCACCCTGGGGAGGGTGTAGAGCAGTGGGACCTCTCCCTCATCACCTGAGAGGATACAAGACAGAGCAGTCATTTTGGAGAAGAGTTTGGCATCTTCTACAAAACAGTCGCACCACACATCACACTCTTAGATATTTACCTAAAAGAAGTGAAAAATTAAACCTACACAAAATCTAAAGATGAGTGCTTATAGTAAGTAGTTTTATTCATAACTTGCAGAAATGGAAACCACCACAATGTCCTTCAACAGGTGAATGGATAAACAAACTGTGGTACATCTAGACAATGGAATATTAATTCAGTGCTAAAAAGAAACAAGCTAACAAGCCACAAAATGACATGGAGGAGCCTGAAGTGCATAAAGCTAAGTGAAAGAAACCAGTCTAAAAAGACTGAATACTATATGATTCCAACATTAAGACATTCTGGAAAAGGTAAAACTACAGCAACAGTAAAAAGATCAATGGTTGCCAACAGGCATGGAGGGTTGGGAGAGGTTCACATCTAGACTCTGCGGACAGGTAGGGACCCTGGGTTCATCCTCAAGCTAATCCAGAGAGAATCAGGTGAGGGGATTGAGAAGACAATGACTTGTTTGTGCCCACAGGAAGTAGAACAAGTAGAACAAGAGATCTGCTTTCTTCAAGAAGGCCAAGAGGAAGAAAAGGCTAAGCAAGTAGAGCTCACCACTTTCCACTGTTATACTGGGTTTGCACACTGGCTGATTGAGAGTGCCTAAGAAAGAATAGTTACATACATCTGTCTGTGGCTGCACCTGCAAATGTGGGCATGCGTGGAGACACCTGAGTTTATATGGTGCATTCGGGGGCTAAACACTTCACTGGCCTTCCAGGCCTTCTCCCTTGTCCCCTGGGGATGTCTCCTCTGTACTAAAGAAAGGAAGTCTCCTCCTTATTTTCACAGAATGCCCATGCATTGTCCCTACTGGGTGAGAGCCTGTCTGCCACCTGCAGGCCTTTGCCTGGTAGACTGGCTGGCCTACCCATACCCTCAATGCCTGTTCACTCAGGGTCTTGTGCTAGGAAGTAAAGAGTGCAGCTCAGGCAAAGGCCTGGGGAGCCTCAGAGAAGCTAGTAGGGGAACATGAGCAGGTAAGAGACAGCCACTAAGACTTCCTCCTCACCCACCAGTTCTTGGCCCCCATCCAGGATGTGGCCACAGCCCTTAGCAGCTTTTATGCAACTGGAAAGGGCAGTTTGTGGTCTGTCTGACAAGGAAAGCTCCCTCCTGCTGTGTTCACAGCACTCTTACACAGGCGTCAGCTGGCAATTCACAAATATTTTTGGAAGAGAGGAAAGTGAAGTGTAACCTTCAGTTGCCTTTGGAGCACTAGAAAGAAAGGAGATATCAAGGGACAGAGGCTGACAGCAGTTCACAGAGGCCAGCCACGTCTCCAGCAGCTGCCATGGAGCAGGAGGGAAATGGGCGACTGGACCTGTACAGTGTGCCTGCCACTGGTACAGGGAGATACTCACTGGGAGCAACTGTGGTCTCCCCAGGAGGGCCTGCCAGTGTCACTGGGACATGTAAGGTGCTGCTCGGGTCTGAGGATTCGATGCCCATCCGAGTGACATTTCTCTGATTGTCTGCATCTTCTGGCTGTTCCTCCACCTTCTGGAGACAGGTGCTGGGCAGCACGTGCACAGGGGCTATGCCCATCACCCCACTGGCCTCCAGGCCACAGTGAGGCTCCCTGCAACCAAAAATGCACAGCAGAGTCTGATGCAGCCCCAAACTCCTATTTCTGCAAACCCCAGCTTCTTATACCTCTACCCAGACCAGGTAAATCTCGGACAACCTCCTGTGCTCCTCTGGTGTTCTGTATGGATTCTATCACCCTATACAATTCTGTCTTTAGGTACAGGGCTGACTCATCCATCTGTCCCAGGCACAGAACCCTGGCACTATTGGCCTCACATTATCTATGTGGAACACAACTGTTGGAAGAATAAATTAGTCTGGAGAGGGATACTTCCCTGAGCCACCCACCCAGGGGCCATCCAAGTGCTCCACCCAGGCAAAGACCCAGCACAGAGTTTTGTACTTGATGACAGTAGTTCTGTGGGACTGGTCCTGGGCCCTGGACTCCAGCCATTTGTCCTGGTTGGTTTGTGGCCAATCCATAAGTACAGAGGCCTCAGCCTCCAGGCTCCTGCCCCAGGCCTCTTGCAGGGTCACAGCTAAGGAGCAGGTGGGCAGCCTGCTTGTTAAGAGACAACTCAGTATGGTCCCCTGTTGTACTGCCCTGCCCATCAATCTCCTAAACTTCACTGGCCTCTCCTTCCTCCATAATCCAATTTTCTCTTTTCTCCCAAGGTCACTCTGTTCTTCCTAGGTCAAGGTGTCCCAAATGTCTGGTGTCCCCTAAGCCCGATGGCTGATGTGGCACCAAGATGCCCTGCCAAGCAGTTCTGAGAGGGAATTGGGCAGGGGGAGCATGGGCAACCTGGTCCAAGTCACCCTCTGCTATCAGCCAGGACGTTGGGGCCCAGCATCAGCCTGGGCCAACCCCACCCCCACCACAGAGAGAAATAGGGGCCCTGGTCCCAGGACCATAAGGTCACCGGGCCCACTGCTTGTGCTTACGCACTTGGGCTGGTGGTTCCGTATCTCCTTGTCCGCCTCCGCCATCTCGCCCTCCTTCTCTGCAGCCTCCTTCTCTGTGGCCTCCTTTTCAGTGGGCTCCTGAACAGACGGCACCTTGTGCCGCGCCCGGTGCCGTCGCATAGGCTCCTCACCACTCTCTGCCTCCCTGGAACCGGCCCGGGGGCCCCTGTGCCGCAAGCGCCTCTCGGTCTTGGCAGTAGGTGCAACACCTTCCTTGCCCTGTTCTGGACCGTGCCGGTGAGCACGGTGGCGCCGGGGCTCGCGCTCAGCAGCCTCCTCCGGGGAACCCCTCCGGTGGTGCCGTCGTCCACCCTCAGGGCCCGGGCCCCTGCTGCGCTCGCTCCGGGACTCCAGCGCACCTGCCGCGTCCTTGCTGCGACTGCGGTGTGGACGTGCCCGCTCCTCCCGCGCTCCAGGGTCCACACTCTCCGCCTTCACAGCATCAGCCCTGTCCTGTTCGCCCACTGCGGGGACCACAGCCTGAACTTTGTCCCTGTCACGATGTCGGTGGTGCCGTCGTGGTGGGTCTACACCCTCGGTGACCTCCGTGCCCTCAGGTCGGGCTTTGCCCCCCATGGGACCCCGTGGGCCATCCCGCCCTGGTGGCTCCACCACCAGAGGCCGGTCCAAGTGCGTCTTCATGTCTGGTCTTAGGTGGCGTGTGGTTGCATAGCGCATCCGCTCCTCCGGGTCCATCTCACTGTACAGCGCCTCACAGCTGGCCCGCAGGTTCTGCAGCCGAAGCTGGCTGGCCCGCTGCTCCCACACCGAGCGAGCCTTGGCCGAGTTCTGCTGCCTGCTGCGGGGAGACTGGCAGTGAGTGTTGGCCCGCCCAGCCCCTTCTCTCTGTCTCTCAGGGAAGCCACGGATGAACACACAGCAATGGAGGGATGAAAGAGTGGTTGCAGGGAGGAGAGGAAGGAAGGACAGGCGGCAGAAGCCCCCAACACCACTGGCAGGATGTAGAACAAGAGGGGAATATCCAAGGGACCCAAATTCAGCTCCACTTCCCCTGGTGTCCCTTGGAACCCACAGACTATATTAGGCTATATATGCGTGGGGGGGGTGCTCAAGGCCACTCTGGAGGATAGATGGTAGCCACGAATCCTGGGGTGCACGGCAGTGGGAATGTGAGGCACCTCTAAGAGGTAGCACAGGCTTCCAGGGCAAGTCAGCTGCTGGCCAGGTGGGTGGGAGAAGGGAGGAGCACTGTCCTAATGGGGATGCAGATGCAAAGGCTCCCCTGCAGCCCCCACTCCAGCAGGAGAGCAGAGATGCTCCAGAGAGGCCAAGTAGACCCTTCCCCACTGCACCTCCCAGGAGGAAAGCCAGCAGCCAGGAGAATGGGAACCCATACAAGAGGCTTAAGCTGACAGAGGATCTGGCCCTCTCAGGAACAAACAGTGCCTCAGCTGCTCCCCAAGACGGTCAGCCCTAACTGGGAAGCCACTACCCGGCTCAATGGCAGGTCTGTGGCTGGTGACATCCCCTCCCATGGTCATGAATGTCCTCCTTCCTCTTGTTTCCATGGAGAACCTCTTCCTCCATCAAGAGCAGAGCCAGACATGGCCCTCAGAGCCCTCCGGCACCAGGGTGGCCAAGGGTCTAAGCTTGACCCTCACTGCGTAAGCTCCTGAAGGCTGTGATCCACCCTCCACCTCAACAGCCAAGGCACCGCTGTTCCCATGGCACATGTGGGGCTCCACAGCATGGAGTGCATGTGAGGCCTTTGCACTCTGGGTTCTTTGATGAATAAGACCACCAAGGTAGGTGACCCAAGCCACGACTTTACCAGGCAGAAACCTCGTCAGAGGCTGAGCCTTATCCTCCAGCTGCTGGAAGTTCCTGAAGACCTTGGCAATGATGGTAGCACCATTAGTAAAATGGCCATGGAACTGGTACTCTGGGCTGTATGCCCATCTCACCCAGTCCTTTCAGCCATCCCTGTAGCCATTTCACAAGGGAAGACACTGATCCTGAAGAGAGGACTTGACCTGACCAGAGTCGACAGTGAGTCACTGATGAAGCCAGGATCTGATGCAGGGACAGGAGGGGAGGACACAGGCTGCAGCCAGACCCAACTGCACTAACAGCAAAGATGCAGCTGCCCCTGTGGCAGCCAGGCCAGCCACTCCCACCCTGCAGCCAGTGTGTGGGAAGCCACCACCAGGGGCAGTACCTGGCAAGTATGAAAGCAGAGGAGCACCATGTGGGTACCCCACCTCAGAGCCCAGGCAGGGATGAGCAGGGTGACATGTGGAAGCCATCAGTTGGTCCAGGGTCTCAGCTGTCATCTGTCCCCCCAAGACATTGAAGTTATATAGTCCCCTGCTCCCAAGAATTCCCTGCAACAGACCCACAGGTCTCCTGCCCCAAGCTGGCACCATCTTTCAACTCCAGGCAGCGTGAAATGCAAAAGAGCCATGACAGGCACACACCAGGCACGGGAGCCTTGGGCGGGCTGGTGTCTGGTCACTGCTGCTGTCTGGTAGCAGCCCAAGACAGGTCTGGACTATAAGCCATTTGGTCAACAAATAGGTGGTTCACTCAGATGAAGCCGCAGCCTGAGGCCAAGATCAAGTTCTTTATCAAAAAAAGGTAGACCATGAAGGCCATGAAGGACATGYGGGGACTGGCAGCTCAGTTTTAGACACAGGCAGGGATGGGCTCTATACCACATAACTGCCCTCAGCCTTGCCCCAAGAACAGTCTTCTCTCTCTCAGGAACCACCGCAAGTCTAGCAAAAAGCCAGAAAGTCTGTGGGGCCAGAGGTGCCATCAGGCTGGCAGGGCCTCTCATGACTACCCAGAGAGAGGACCACAATAATCAGCTGTGCAAACACTGCCCAGCCATCTGCATCAGCCACCACAGCCCCACTCTACTGGTCCCTATAGGTCTGTATGCTACTCTGGGCCCTGATATCACAGAGACTGTCTACATCTACACATAACCCAGTTGGTACCACTGGGCTTCTCTATGGATGAAGCCCCTGAGCCTGAACATATATATGCAACATACGCACCAGGTCTTTCCTCCTGTATGTCCCTGAATCATCCTGCCCTTGCCCTGGCCAAGGTCTCTGTACTTTCTCTGTCTGGCACATAAACCCCACTGAATTCTGCTCAGTTTGGCCAGTGCAGGTCTCTCACTCTGTAATTTCTACTGAGATCACAGGCAGTTCAAGAACCTAAGAATGGAAACCAATCCACACAGACCTCTAATGCAATGTGGCTGGTGACTAATCCAGACAAGGTTCTTATTAAAAGGGATCTTTAGGGAATCACATGGAGAAGCTGCTCAGGTGGGTACCTACCTTGCAGGTGCAACCCCCATCCATACTAGGGAGGACAACTTACCCCGCCCAACTCAACACTGTGGACAATCACAGGGCTCAGAAAGGAGCCTTGAGGATCTCATTAGCACTGCTTTGAGGTCTCTAGGTTCAGCCAGGCAGTTACCCATAACTGCTGACAGTGTGGAGCAGCCCTGTTCTGAAACCATCAATACCTGCATCAGCATCTTACTCTGCCATGTGAACCAACTGTTCAAGATCCAACATGTTTCCTTATTTTTTACCCTATGAGACATCAGACTCCAACAGCCAACAGCAAACAGGGATTGGGGGAAGGCAGCCCAGCTCTATTTTGGCATCAAGAAGATGCACAGGGCAGGGCTGCTGGGAGCCTCACCACCACCAAGACACAGAGAGGGCACATGGCCACTTCCATCCAGGTGGCCCAAATGTACCTGACCACTCAGGTACCCTCACCTGCAGGGCCTCACCTCATTCTCAAGGGGAAATCCCTGGGGACCAGTCACCCAGGAACACTCTCCAGGAGGAGATGTGCAGGGAGAAGTCAGCCAGTTGAGAGCCTCCTTGGGGTTTTCATGGCTCTACCTGGTCCATGTGCCACAAGCACCACAGTTGGACAAGAGCTCGCTCTTGGACAAGGACTTCCTCAGAGTCACTGAAACATTCCCCCCAAGTAAGGGGAAATTCTAAAAACCACAAAATGTCCCCAGTGAACCCCAAGAACTCTCTCCGCCATCCCTGCATAAAAGATCCTGGCCTCATAGGACCCACAGGAGACCTGAGCCCACAGTGCTCCATCCACTCAGAGAAGCAGATACACCCAAGACACTAGACTGACTGCACATGGACAGACAGCAGACAAGAGGATGGAAACCAAGAAGGGGAGCAGGAGGGGCTGAGATCAGAGAGGCCTGACTGAGCCTGAAAGCAGGACTCCAGGAGGCCAGGAAGTGTGCCCACCATTCCCAGCCCAGGCTGCAGAAGGCTGACCTGGAGCTGCCCATGAAGCGAATGACTTAGGTGAGAAAGCAGAGTTAGGAGTGGAAGGAAGATGTGTACATGTGTCAATCATGGAGCCACGGATGGAATATCGTAGCAGAGCGACTCACGGTGAATCTACGCTGGAGACAGATGAGCTGCGAGACACAGTACCTCGAGTTCGCTTTACAAAACTGCACATGCAAGAAACAAGACATAGACAGAAGTGAGAAAAACAGAAAGTTCTGAAAGACACTAGCAACGCTTGAGCACCACCCCAGTGCGGGCGCAGGCTGCAGTGTGCATCTGGGCAGGAGGCTGGAGACACGTCCATCAGACGGGCACCAGCTGAGACCTCGGGGCAAAAAAGAAGTTGAGAACCAAATCCACACACACACACAGAGAAGAAACTAAAGTAACACAGCAAACCCTACAATGGCTGAAAGACGAGAAGCAGTTATTTAGAGGGACCCATTCATCCACTAAGGCTCCACCCACGCTGCTCTGAGAAGCCTTGGGTTAGGAGGAACTGTATTGCTTTTCCCATAACTCCACCCAGTCCTTCCCCTCTGCTGCAGGCCTCTGCAGCAGGCCAGCCCAGAGAAGCACAGACAAGAGAACAAGGAGACCACAGCCACCCTTACCTGACGTGCTGCTGGGGGCCCTGCTGCCTGCCCCACCTGCCTTCCTAGGAGCTGCTCCCAGGCCCTCAGGTCCCCAGGCTCAAATCCAACTGCTCTCAGGTCACCATGACCTCTCCAGGGGCAAACCAGGCAATGCCACCAGCCCAACTTCCCTAGGGATATAACTCCAGTCACTTGCAAGTAACTTTGCTGCAGCTTTTCCAAAACCAATAGAGAAAACCAGCATCTCTTCACAGCCATGACCTTCACCCTGGCTTTCCCAGAGAGGGCTAGGTAGGTTTTCAGTGCCTCCTTCTCAAGGCCAGGTCTTTGCACAATTCTAAGGCACACAGAGCAGCTCTCCTGCCCACAGGCCCTGCGTGCAGACAGGCATGTGTGTATGACAACATGTGTGTTGAGATTATGACTGTGTATGAATGTAAGTATGAGTAAGTGTGCAAGCATGTTGTGAATGTATGTGCACAGCCACTCAGAAGGTGAGGACGAGGGTGCCACTGCCAAGAGAACTGGGAAGACAATGTCAAGCTTAACATCCCTCCCCTCTCAGGCTCCTAAGTAAGCTGCCACCTAGGCGACAGACACAGACCTGACCGCAGGGATCCCCACATTGTCCACAGAGCATGAGGTCCTCTTGCACCTGAGGCACCATAAAATGTCCCTGCAGAGCACCCATGCCATGAGGCATGGTGTGAAGAGCAAGGTCAGGGAGCACTGGGGGCTGCACTCCTGCCTGGTCCAGCAGCTTAGGCCACAGAAATGAGTGCACAGGCATCTCCAGCCCTCAGGGGTCTCAGCAAGATGGGTGGGAAATCCAGCATTGGGGGCCCTCACATCCAGCACCCATGCACACCCAAGGACAGGCCTTGCCCAGTATAGATCCTCCCTCATGCCCAGGAGGTTGATCCCGCAGGGTCACACACAGGACCTCCGTGGTTTCACCACATCACCAAGTATGGGCCACAGTGGCATCCCGGGCAGGGTCTGTGGGACCCACAGTCCATCCAAGAGGGGACACAAGCAGCCCTCACAGATATGAAGGCTGTGACCCTGGCTCTGGAGCTAACACTTCACTTGGGACCCTCCTGTGGGTCCCAGGAGAAGAAAGCACTTTTTCCACTCAGAAACCACCACAGTGCTCAGGCCAACAGCCGAGGTCACGTGTGGCCTATACCTGGGATGCCTCAACCTGCACAAAGTGTCTCCAAACAGGGACAGTGATAGCAGAGGAGGAATGGTCTAGGCCTCCCATCTGGTGGCTTGATGCACCCTCCATGTCACTCTTCTCTCCAAGGTCTCAGCTGGGTGGATGTGGCCACCCTCCAGCACACCCATGGGAATGGCAGCCCTGAAGAGGGCAGGGCCCAGGACTAACACTCACCCCCAGGAGCAACAGAGAAGGCAAGTGCCAAACAGAAACATCAAGAGGCCACATGAGGCTAGGAACCCAACAAGCCAAATGCTGCCCTGCCACCGTCTGTCCAGCAGACAACACCAGCTTACAGAGCTTACCTGTAGGATGCGAGAGGACAGCCTGCAGATCACTGCAGTCACACCAACCACCTAAGCAGACAACTGAACTGGACAGACAACAAAACTGAGTACGGAGCCACCGACAGCCCCATGACGATGGCTTTGTCCTCAACCTGCCTGGCTCGCTGCAGGGTCCCAGGAGCAGGGGCACAGCTGCTCTCTTCCTGAGGAACCTCCCCTGCACTTTCTGCCTGGTGAAGAGACAGGTCCTCTGCAAACGCCATCTCCCAGGGCCTTTACGGGTGTGTGTGCACACGCACACAGACACACACACACAAACCAGTTGCCTCACAGCATGCTCATCCACATGCCACAAAATACTCAGCAGTGCAGGCATATGACACCACAGAGGTGCCATGGCTATGCCTAGCACTATGGTCAGTGGCCACAGAAAGGGAATGGTCAGCACAAGAAAGGTGAGTGGTGGGGTGAATGCGCATCCAGGCAGCCAGCAGCTGCACAATCAGTGGTCGGAGACGAGGCGCGGCCAACTTCTCTCCCCTTCCTAGGCTGCTGCAGCCTGTGGCACTCTGTCCAAACTCTATAGTCCCTTGAAGCCCCCAACCTTCCACATGTGCACTGTACTTACTGTACCTGAGTCCACGGAACAGGAGATTGATGACTGGCTTTCTTGCAGAAGTCTGTTCTGCCCTGTATCCATCCTATCTCATTACAGAAGCTCCCCTGACCTCTATCCCAATACCAAACACTTAGAGATGTTTGGGGAACCTGCATCAAATTCCTGGGCTCCTGAGGTGCCACATAGAACCTCTTGGCTCACAAAACACATTTCTAGAAAGCTGTATATAAACTCCATGTGCAGAATCCTCACCCCGATTGAGTCCCAGGCTTTGCCTGCAGGGGGACCTGGAGCCGCCCTGAGACATCCTAGTGAACAAGTGCTGTGGCTGAGCCAGTTCCATCCACACTGTGAGGACTGTACCCAGTATACCCTGCCCATGCTCAGACTGGAAGAATGTCACAGAGCCTAGACAGCCCAGGAACCCTTTGTTCCAGGCTTCTCCTGACACAGGTTCAGGGCTAGAGATGTGTCCTCACAAGCCCCAGCTAATGCAAGGCATGCTCAGAGAAAGCCTTTGAAGTGGGGACCTGGTGTGACTCAGCCACAGCCACCCACAATCTGCTCCCAAGAGTCTTACGCAGCAATGGAGATGTTGGCCGCAGACATGGGGCTGACTTCAGCTACTTCCTTGGCTTTCTGCAGAGCCAGCTTCTGATTGGCTGCTTCTTCCATCTCCTCTTCATCCTATGTGAACAAGAGAAATATTTGTCCCTCAGAGGGCCACTCTAAGACCATTAGCTTTCCCCTCAGTACCCCTCCAGCCTTCTGCATCATGGGACCAGCCCCTGCATGGACATGGTCCATTAGTTCTTCCTCCCAGGACCTCAGTGCCCCTCCTTCCCTCAGCACCATGAAGCTGGGTGGCAAGCCCCTGTGTGCACATGCTTTCCCTATGAGCAGCCACAAAAGTTCAGGACCTCCCCACCAGGTGGCTCAGAGATTATGGTCTCTAGATTCCTGCCTCTCAAGCTGATGATCCCACTCCTATATGAGCACCCTGACCCTGAGCCGAGCTCCAAATACCAACTGACTGCCCGGACATATCTGCCTATTTGTACCATGCACCTCAGACTTGCTTATCAAGTCAAAGCTGCCCCTTTTTTTATCCTCCTTCCCTCCCAGAGGCACCTGTCACATTTGAACAAAGCTGGTCTTTCACAGGGCTTATGACTAGGTGCTAGCCAAGCACTGCACATAAGGGCTTTCACCATCAATTTTCAGTGGGGCTATATGCCTCCTTTGAGTTTTCCTGACTGGACCCAGCAGATTACATCTGTCTACTCATTCCCATCTGTGACAATGAAGCTCCTTGTGGCTCTGACGCCAGGGCTGAGAATGTGTGTGTGTGTGTGTGTGTGTGTGTGTGTGTGTGTGTACGCACGCACACGCGCGCGTAGGCACCTCTGCCCCTGGCTATGAAGAGGAATGGACATCCGGACAGACCCTCTGGCCCTGACCCCAAGTCACTAAGCAAAACCAATATGTAATGCTCCTGTGTTCTGGGCCCCAGAAGGAAAGTAAAGACCTCCACAGTGTCCACAGTGGAYTTCTGTGGCCACCACGGTTCCCTCAAAATCTCTAAGTCCAAGCACACCTGACTCCAACATTCCTCAAAATGTCCTTAAACCTGCATTTAAGGGCACAATAATGGCAAAAACGAAATCCCCTGGTAACTGCCTGAAAATGTCCACCACAGAAGAGAGACACTTATGCTTCAGATCCAGAAATGAGACAAAGCTGATCCACCACACAGCATTCCCAGACAAAACCTCTAGGGCAGGGGCATCTTAATCATTCCAAAGAGTGTTCTCAAGTCCCCTCTGAAAGGTCTACAAACAATTCAATTTGAACTTATTTCCACTTCATAAAATAAGTAATGTTACATCTGTGGAAATATAAAGGAAGGCAAGAACCAAGTCATACCCCTTGGGGCTCATGGCCCAGTCCAGGAAATGCCATATGGCCAGGAAACGGGCCTCCAATGGTACAGGTTCCCAAGGCAAAGGAATTCCTAACCAGAAGCCACCACCAAGGCTGTGTGCACATGGACAGGGCCCTGAAGACATGCATCCTCAGCATGTCCTCACCCACAGCAGAAGCTGAAAAGAGTGGCAACCTCCAAGCTTCAAGCTCACCACCATCCAAGGGCAGCTGGTGTTCAGATCAACAAAAATGAGCAGCCCAAGTTGGCATGGTCCCAGAAACACCAATACAAAGGACAGCTCTGGACCCAGCAGATTACATCGTTGGTTCCCCTAGCCCATTAGCCCAGCCCTAGCCTCAGCCCCGGCTGATGATACCAACAGGCAGGCCAGTGGTGCTCCCAAGTTCTCAGTGGGCAGAGACCAGAGCAAGGGAGAAGTCTAGACCCACAGGCATAGCCAGGTCCCGGGATGGGACAGGGGAAGGCTGAGCTGAAGCAAAGGAAGGCTCATGGCCTGAAGCAGGTACACTGCACAGGCCATGGCCTCTTCCAAGTGCTGGGTGAGGGTGGACCAGAGATATCTGAGGGTACATGCTCAGTCATACCTGCCCAGAGACCTACACCTCTGGTGTCTGCAGAGAGGGGCCCTGAACTTGCCTTCCTCAGCTCCAGGACAGGGTAACAGTGGACCAGAGTGACTAGACTGGGTCCGTCTCAGAGATATGCCAAGGTACACAGGCAGACACTGTCTGGGCTTGGCAGCACGAACAGGAGAGCAAACAGCATTACACACAGAGAAAGGCACACTAGCAGTACACTCCCAACATACTGTGCATTACTTGGGACATCTGCAACATGGCCCATGCCCCACCAGGTGGCAGTGCCTCCACACTGTAGCTGGGACTCAATCAAAGCACAAGCCTGAGAATGTGACAGCAGGTGGGCCAGTCACACAGTGTCCAGGGCAGTGGAGGTGAAAGTGACCTGGTATGGGGCCATGTCATCTGGAGGAAAACCACAGAGGGAGTGTGTGAAACCACATCCCCCACTGGGCTTGGGGAAGAGGTAAATGTTGAATGGCACCTGCTGGGCACTGACTGCCTAGAGGAGGAGCTGTCCTGCTGTGGCATAGATGTGCTGAGGCTTGGCCACCAGCTGCTCCTCCAGGCTACAGCCAAGTCCAGTGCATGAGGGAAGCTCCACAGGTATCCCTTGCTGCCCTTCAGGGTCTTCAGAGCAGGGCACTCTCTAGGGCCCACAACATGCATCCCTCTCTGATGGAACACCTCTCCCCATCACACACCTGTTTAGACTCGTGGCCCCATAGGCCATCATCCCTCAGGCTGCCCCCTGCTCCCCACAGCCCATCCTGCCTGTGAAGGCCTTTCCTCACAGGCCACGACATCTCTGGATGCCTGCCCACATGTGGGCCTGCCTTCCTGTCTCTCTTTACTTCTACAGCTGCAATCCCTGATCCCCTGAGCCAGAGCCCAGCCTCACTTCTCTTCAGGACCTTGAGAGACTACCCTGGTCACACAGGGCCCTAGCCCAGGACCTGGTCCTCCTCATGACTCTGCAGCTTCATCCAGAGTGACCTGGACTGATCCCCTACCCTTCTCAGCACCCAGGCTGCAGGGGGCATCCCTACATACCTTGGTCAGCTCCTGGGCGTTGGCAAGGTTGTCCACAGCGATGGCCAGGAAGACATTCAGCAAGGTGTCTGGTTGATCAAGTTAAGGAAGGGAACTCTCTGGCCCACACTGTCCCACAGAGTCACACCATGGTTGCCCAGGGAAAACAGGAGGCCCACCTCCCTGGATTGCAACAAGTCTCCAGCCTCCTTCCCTTAGCATCCACCAGCCCCCTCAGAACTCATCGTCCCAGACGCACCAGCCCAGTCACCAGGCTGCATCTCCCTGGTCTCTGCTCCCACCAATTCCTCTGCCCAACCATCCCCCAATCACCCAACTTCTACTCATACTGATGTGGACCCTTTCCTCACCCCAGCCTTTGGGAGCTGAAAATCTAGGCCCAAAGCTTAGAGACTGTATTGGGACAATGTGCCTTTGCCACCTAGAGAGGGCACAGTCCACCTGCCTCTCCCTTTTCTGGTCAGCATGAGAAGCCTTGCCATGAGCTTGCACAGGCTCCAGCTGGGGCTCCACCACCTACCTCCCAGCCCTGTGACCAGAGCCCACCAAGTCAGATGGTCAACACACATCAGCTCCTTCCAGGCCCCAGCTGGGTTCACAGACCCCTGTCAGTCTCACCCTTCCTTCCAATCCTGTTCCACCAGGAAGTCCTGGGCACTGCTCCTTGAGCTAGAAGGGGGCACACAGTGCTCTGAGCACCCAGAACTGCACCCCACCCTGAGTGGATCCCAGGGGCCCTGTGCTGCAGGGCTACCACCCCTCCTTCAGGAATGAGGAAGCCAAAGCCACGAAGGGGCCTGCGAAGCACAGGGCTCCTCCCCAAATCTCTCCAGGACCTGGCCCTTTTTCTGCTGCTACCATGAGTCACCGGGGTATCCCTTGCAAAAGGAAGCCTCCTTCTATTGCCAGGTGTCACCTCTTCCCATAGCTTGTCTCACTACAAGTAGAACTTCTTCTGCAGGACTGTCCCCTGTGATGATGTCAGGGCCCCTGCTGCAACCGGTGCTGGTTGTGACCATCTCAGCTTGCTCTCCTAAGTCATCTCATCATTTCAGAGGTTTCAGTCGAGGCACTGCTGACACACTGGGCTAGGTAATCCTTGTTGTGACGTGTTGAGCAGCATCCCTGGCCTCTGTCCACTCCATGCCAGCAGCCCCTCAGTCATGGTAACAAAAGACGTCTCTGACACTGCCAGGTGTGACTGTCCCTTGGGGAAGGCTGCCCATTAGAATGCACAGACTTGAGCCCCTTTTTCCCCAAATCTAGGGGTTCACCTTGCTCAAGTCTCTATCCTCTGGGGGGGCTCTGCCCAAATTGCAGCTGGCCAACATCAATGACCTGGGTAGGTCAGGCCACTCTCCAGTTGCACAGATGCCCCACTTCCTGAGACTCAGGGCAACCTGAGGCCCACGACACTATCTCATAGCCAGGCCTGCTCAGGACTCCAGTAGAACCCACAAGACTGAACACTGAGGCCAGGATGACGCCAACTCAGGAGGATACTTCTAAGCACTAAGTACTACCATATCTTTTACGAAATGTTCTATGCCCACAGCAGAGCTAAGGGCCACCCTCTGGAGGCTCAACAGAGGGACATGTGGGTACAGCCAGGAGCCATTCTGATTGACTAGGGAAGAGGATCTTGGTGGCCAACATGCCCGAACTACTGCTCTGTCTTGGAGTGGTAGTGCCCCTCTCTGGACATTGGCCTCTTCTCTGAGGATAACACTGCAGCCTCCTTCCCTCTCTGGCTACCATAGCTGCACTTCCTTGCTTTATCCACACTGGGGATCCAGGCCTACCATCTCCAAAGCAAACTTTGTCCCTCAAACCCAGGCCCTCCCAGACCTCACACTCAGCCTCAGCAGAGGTGGGACCCCTGACCTGGGGCTCTGGGCCTGAGCTGTAACCTGAAAGCCCACGCTTGCAGATGTGAGTCCCTACGGGGACTAGCCCCAGAGACAGAAAAGGAAGAGGAGTCAGAGGACAGAAACAAGAGGAAATAGAGCAACACCCAGAGGGCTGAGAAGCACAGAGAGAGGTAGCCAGGTGTGTGGAGGTCAGTCATGTGCAAGAAGGTGAGAGGTGAGCAGAGCAGGCAGGTAGGCTGGGGGGCAACTCAGTCTCTGTCTCCAGCTCAGACTTTTCTCCCAGACTCCACAGGACATTGTGCCTCCAGGGTTCTTAAGGCACACAGGCACTCCCTGAGAACCTGCTGGAATGTATGCTCTCAGGCCCAGCCCAGCCCTGTTCGGTGTGACACTGGGCTAGGGTTTTAAACCCTCAGGGGTCAGATGCCCACGTGCGTTCCAGAACCGGAGAGCTCTCCTTGGCCTGCCCTTCCTACCTCAGCTACAGTTCTCCTGGCCTTCAACCTGGCTGGCATCATGAGCCCTGTACAGTCTCTGGATGTTCCTTGGCCCCAACCTGAGGGAGAGCTTGTCCCCTGCTGTTGGCCTGCCTTGGCCCTGCAGACCTGCCCTCTGGCGGAAGACCCTGGAGCAAAGCCCACTGCTGCCGATCACAGAAGGCTTTCTCTGCACCTCGCTTCACATTTTCGGCAGGGGAGGTTTTTATGACCTATGTGCCAAAACTTAACCAAAGAAGGGAGCAAACCTGCTGTCCTGATGCTCTAAGTCACCACCTCTCTGCAAGGTCCCCAAGGCTGCTCAGAGTGTTTTTCCCGAGCTACAGCAGGTTCTGCCCACCTGCCCCCACCTCCAGACACCACGTAGAGCACCTTTAGACCCAGGGCCCAGGTCATCTAGAGGAAGCTCACTACCCACACCTAGCTCTGAGATCATGCAGCCAACACACCAGTGGCCTTCCTGGAGGGAGCAAGAGGCAGCCATGGGGAAAACATGCAGAGTGCTGACCACCTGCACACCAGCCCCACAAAAGGATACAGTTTCCAAACAGCGTCAGGACGATGAAGTAAAAGGAGGAGAACATGCCTTTGCTCACTCCACCTTGAGATTCTATCCCATGATACATCACTGCATTCCAGTCCTCTCCTGTTAGGATCTGCAGAGGAGAGAACACCACAGGCATGGCCGCCTCATGCCCACTCACAGGCAGGACCCGTGCACACGTGCAGGCCTTGACAGTGGTTCTGGAGTCATAGAAGCCTAGAAACCTGCGGAGAAACCTCCTGAAGGACATGACTTCTGACCTGGATCAGGTGAAAAGATGAGCACACTCTGGGTTTTCAGCCAAAGTGGAAAGGGCAAGGTGAGCAAAGGCCAGGAGGAGGGCGGGCAGAGGGGCAGAGTCTCCCCAACACCCAGAGCTGCCCACACCACAGATTTGCCTTCGAGGAAGCTGTGGAGCAGAGAGGGGAACAAGCTCTGCATACCAGGCACACACAAGACAGAATCAGACCACAGGTCAGTCCTCCACTTGCTGCTGGCATTCAAAATGCCACTGTGAAAGAGGTGCCAGGTGTGTGGAGGTCAGTCATGTGCAAGATTTTTCACCTAAACTGCTGCCACATTTCCTTCTGTCTATTCACACACCTTCTTCTCTAGAGGCACTTTTAGGTTTTGCTACTATGTCTCTGGGGCGCCTGTCAAAAAGTCAGTCTAGAACTGGCATTCCTGGGGAGGAGGCTACCCACATCTTGGACCTGTAGACATTTCCAGAGTGACCACCCAGCAATGTGGGGTTCTTTCCTCACATCATCACACCCTCCTTGCCATGACATACTCTGCCAGCTCCCAGTCTGGTGGGGGGAGGCTGGATACCTCCCCAGCCCAGACCATGGGGCCTTTCCCATGCCTGCCTTTCAACCCATCCACAGGTCCAACAGCACTTTCTCTTACTGGACTGAGTCTTCCTTATGCATTCTTGCATGTACCAATCCACTGTCTGCACTATTCAGTGGAAATATATTCTATTCTCCTGTTTCTACTTAGATATTATAAAAATTATAATGTTATCAAATCTATCAGCCTTTTCCTCTATGGTTTCTGCTTTTTACACTTTGTGGAAGAATTTCTGTCTATCCCATGGTCATAATAATATTTCCTTTGAATCATTTTAAAGAATGATTTTTTTCCACACTCTGAGAATCTGTGGCAATGATGATCTAACTTTCCTGTATGGAAACCCATTCCCAGACCCATTCAGTGTACCCTTCCCACACCCATTTCTACTGTGCCTCTCTTGCACAGCCTCTAGTCCACATCTGAGCATGCTTCTGGCCCCCGGTTCTCCTTAGAGTAGGTCTCACAGGCACCACACCATCGCATGACTGCAACCTCATTAGTCTTGACACCTGGGCTGGCAAAGGCCTCCTTCCGTGGCTACTCCTACACGTTTCCCTTGCATGTTCAGAGTGCTATCAGGCTCGGTTGGGGCCTAGGACTCTGCCCACAGACCTCCAGTTCTGGTCTACATCTTGCATGTCCACATTGCCTTGCACAGGTCAGGTGGAGAAAATGACTTCTCCCCTACTCTCATGGTAAGTAGGCTAGCTATCACTTGTTTCTTGGAGGCTAGGAATAACTCACCTCATGGCCCAGGACAGGAAGCAGAAAGACTAACGCAAGTTTTGACTATTGACCTATTTGAAAATGGTCATAAAATGTCCCCATTTTTCTTTCTTCTTAGGTAATTTGTGTTTTCCTCCAAAAATGCATATTTCATCTACATTTTCAAATCTATTGGCATTAAGAGTTGCCAATTTTTTAAAAATAACCCTTTTTAATAGTTACGACTTCCAGTAGGGCTAGGGTACTTACTTATTTTTAACTTTTCTTTTATAGTGTCTATCTATTTAAATGACAACAAGGATGCCTCTGTAGTATTACAATCATTCAACATCCATAGGAATTTCCTAGGTGATCAGACAAAGGGCCAAATACTGTTTGCCCAATGAGCATGCCACTCACTGCTGGCTGGACACAGCACTGTCGGCCAGGTCTGCTTGCTGTATCCACGAGCTCTCACCACCTTCACCTTTCAGCCTAACGGAGGCTGGCACAGATGTGTTGAAAGACACTGTTCCCACCAGGTGTCTGGGGTGTGCTGGCGGCCTGGTGAATCTACAATGGCAGCATCAGATGCAGCACCCCCTGCCCTTCTCTCCTCCTTCTTCTAACCTTACTAATCCTGCTCTCCCTTCTCTTCCTGAACTTCTGTGTGGGCTAGTGTTCACATTACTGTACCAGCCGTCCTTTGGTCAGCATGTATTTAGAGCTACCTTTTTTGTAACCCTTCATTTTTAAAATCACGTCATTTTTAAGGTACGATGAATAATTTCACAAACTTCTGTGTACCCATCACCCAAAGAAGGCTGAAGTTCCTTGGCTAGACATCCACAGTCCCTCCTACCCCTGGCACTGGATGTGGGGTCTGCAGTCGCACCCAGTTTTTATACCTCCTACGTACATACACAACACACAATACACTTTATGCTTCCCAGCCTTGCTTAGTTGTGTGTGCTTTGTATTTTTCGGAAACTTATTTGTTTCGTTCAACGTTGTGTGTCAGTGAGATTCGTCCCCAGTGATATATTGGCTCTTGGTCCTGCACCTGCCCCATGCATGGTACTGCACACTTCCCGTGCAGCCAATGATTATCATTTGAGTGATGTCCAATTGTTTTTTGTTACAATTGATGCTGCTGCTATGGCCTTACATGCTTCAGGCAGAGACTTCCCAGAGCACGAGCTGAGGACAGGAACTGCCAACTGTGATCCTCGGTGTGCTGGATGTCACGAAATCCCTCCCAAGAGGTTCCACCTGCCCAACAGTAGTATAAAGGGTCCCTCATTTCTAGTCTTCTCTGAAACCTGATATTGTCATATTTCTTAAGTGTGGGAAAGATTGTCTCACTGTGGGTTTAATTTGCAATAAAGTTGACTACAGTTTGTAGAAGTTTATTCAGCAGTCCAGTTTGCTTTCCTGCAAGTTACTCATTTATATCCTAGGACACAATTGGTCTTTTTATCTTTGGAAGTTTCCAGTACATTCTGGAATAGTCCTGTTGGAAATGTCTTCTCCCCATCTACAGTGGGGTTTTGTGTTTTGCCTTGTCTGGTTTGCCCATCCTTACCTGGGTGGTCCGTGTTCCTCTTCTCAGAGCCTTCCCTGCCCCACAGTAACCATGACGCCCCTGTCGCTGTGCTTCTAGAATTTCATGTCCGCTTTTCACACTCGTCTAGAACTGACCTGTGTATTCAGTTCACATTTTTATACGTGGACAGCCACACACTGTCCCAAGCCCTTGGCAATGACAACACTTGGTGTTCTGTGAGAATTCTTACTTTACTTCTTCTTATACTACTACACTAATACCCCTGACACTAGTGTAATCTGCCAAGTTTTTATTTGCAAGGAGTGTTAGGTTTCATCTTTTCCAGGAAAAAAAAAAAATTACACTCCAAACACCAGATGGAGATCGCAGCAAGTCCCCCGTGCTCCTCACCCAGCTCTGGAGAGCAATTCTGCTAGAGTTCAGGGGCGTTTTCAAGTCACGTGGATTTTCTTCCTCAGTCTGTTAATGCAATGAGTTACATTCATGGACTTTTAGTGTTAGTTCTGGATCATGTGTTATAAAGGTAGGTCCAGGAATACCTGGGTCCACTAGTGGTTTTCCCCTGGGAAAACGCCCATTTGTGAGAATGGCCTGCACTTTCTTTGTTTCTCATATCCAGGTTTTCTAGTCTTACAACATCAATGAAGAGTTTTCCTTTCTACATTCTCTGGAGTAGTATGTATAAAGTTGGAATGACTATTTAAATAGTAGAATTAATTCATAAAACTATCTGAACTTGGTGGCTTGGGTACATTTTTGACATTCAATTTCTGAAGTGATTCAGGTCTCCTACTTCTTGGGTCGGTATTTTTTCTTCTGTATCATCCACTTAAATGCGTGTTTGCAGTGCTTTCTATAGCCTTGGAGGGGTAGGAACTCTCCACATCTGTGTCTGAAAGTGTCTTCCATTTTACTCTAGCACTTGGGCACAGCTCTTGGGACTCAGCATCCCAGGCTCAAGGAGACAAGACTTCTTTAGTCTTTTCTTTTCTAATTTTTTTTTCTGGTGCCAGAGCCTCATGCATGCCCTCTCCTACTGAGCTGCATCCATCCCCCATCTCTTCTGCCTCTACCTTAGCCGCCCTGGGCATCTGCCACCTCAGCTCCAGCTAGCTCAGGTCCTCACAGTTTCCAACGCTACACCCTCTCTTGCAGAAAGTACAGAGTGAAGTACACCCTTATTCTTTAACTTGAAAATCTCTACTTTTCATTTCTAGGATTTCAATTTAGTGTTTAGTTCATTTTCACTGAATTGTTCTTTGTGTTAGGCACTTTTCCCCGTGATTTGGGGCTTTATGGTCCTTCCTTTGCCCTTGGAGAATCAGAGGCGCACTCTGCCTAGAGCCATCAGTGCTCTGTCACTGCCCTTTCACTGAGAGTAGTCTCACCTTCTGACCACAGGCACTGCTGGTCCTCTTCTGGGCATAGTGTTTACCAGGTTTTGGTCTGGAGGTCACCAAGAGCAAAGTAGAAGCTGCTGCCCCTCTCCATGCATGCCTCCCTCCCCACTCCCGCCCACTTCAGAAGCTTCCTTCATGAGAGCACAGGCCCCATCCAGAGGCATCCTGTGGGGCCAACAGCCCTGGCCAGCATCTGCACTGCTGCTGCCCTGGCAACCTTGCTAGCCTCCTGCAGCTCTCCTCAGCCTCCTTAAAAGACCCAGCACCCTCCCCAACGCTCAGAGTGCTGAGTCACATGTGCACACTGCTGATGCCCTGGGACTCAAAAGCCTAACCCACCTGCCTCTTCCCAGACCAAATCCAAGTGTCTGGGTCTATACTGTCTCCCAGGGAATGATTCCAATCTGTTTCTGGTCCACAGAGATTTGGTTTCTGCTTAGCTAGGTCCTTCTATCGTCCTGTTGCTGTGTTCAGAGCAGAGGGCATGAAGTCTGATCACAGTACCTCTGATCAGAAGGATCACCTTTTCTCCTAACTATACCCACTTGGGGGAAAACCTGCCCTGGTATGTAGGGCCCTTCTGACCTGGCTCAGCCCCTACAGCCCACCTGGCCTGCCCACCCTCTCACCATACCCACTCTTCCACCCAGAATCCATTTCTCCTGGTTTCCCTCACCTGGTGCCTGGCAGCCCTGGTCCTGGAAGCCCAGGGAAAGAAGAGCCCCTTCCTGTCCTGAGTGGACTGTATTCCTCAAGGAGCCTATGTCCACCCTCTACGCAGCCACCCTCCTCTGTCTCCTAGGCTAACAGATCCTACAGGAAGCTACTGACCTGTGAGCAACCCAGAGCTGCCCATGCATCAGGGAGAGAAAGGTAGTGTGAGGAGGTCGGGCAGGCACCCACACATGGGGACCCAGAGGAGGGGAGAGGAAGGAGGGACAAGCATAGCACAAGGGCCTGACGGGTCCAAAGCTGAAGTGCCCCTACGGGACGCACTCGTTTTCTGTGGCTGTGACTGAGCTGATGGCACGAGAGGGGGGAATGTGAGGAAGGAGGCCACCAAACTGCTCTCTTAGCCATTCGTCTGGTTTGGTTTGGACCATCAGCTGGAAAGGTACCCTTTCTTTGAGAGAGTGGGACACGAAGGCCCCTCCTCACATACATGGACTCAGCTTTGGCCCCCAGAAGCCAAGGCACTGAGCCAAGGTCCAGCCTGGAGTGCACGCTGCCTGTCGAGCCTCCCTGGGAGTCACCACCGGTGGAACAGCAGCAGCCTGCCATCCTTCCCAGCCTCAGAAGGCATCCAAGCAGGTGCCATGGGTCAGGAGTTCATGGCGTTACCTCATCAGTGAGGCCAGACTGGCAGCATTTGTGAGGCCACAGCCCTGCAAAATAGTCCACAAAAGGGAGCCCCCCAAGAAGGCAAGGTCACCTGAGCCAACCAGGCCCTGACTTATGGAGTGGCCCAGCCTCAGCTGCCCAGGGGCTATGGTGAGCCAGGTACAGCCCCAGGTACAGAAAGACAGAGGCACCACATGGCTGAGACACAGCCAGGTGGAGTTCAAAGAAAGCTTTGGGGTTCTGTCCTCAAATGACAAAAGAAGTGGTTCCAAGTCCTGGAGGCCAAGAGAGAACTGATGGCTTGGAGGCAGTGTCTGCCCTCAGAGATGCACCTACTCCTTAGTGACTCCCAAGCACCCAGCTTCCCTGGAAGCAGGCGATGCCCCTGCCTGTGTTTGTGGTCTGCTTGGGGAGGGTTCTCTCCAAGTGCTACATATGTGGCTGTGCTGAGAAGCTAGCGAAGGCTAGACCAGGCACTTTCTCAGCACCAGCAATGTGAGCTGAGCAGAGCAAGGCCTCACCTGGAAGACCGTGAGGATGGCAGCAGGAAAGGTGTCGAAGTTGGTCGTTGGAGTCTCATCTTTGAAGTTAAACCTGAGAAAAACAGGAAGTCTTGGGAAGAGGCAACCCCACCAAAAGCAAGGGGAATGGGCGCCTTGGTACCAACATGCTCTGTACAGGCCACACACAGGCTGCTTTCTCTGCATCACCAACCCCTTTCAAGGATCTTCAGGAAGGAAGGCAGGTGGGAGAGGCACCATCTGCTCTGGGCTCTGCCTCCCTAGAGGGACCTCAGCCTGTCCTCCCCGAGAGTTCACTTACTGTCCCCCAAACAGCTGCATCCCCAGGAGAGCAAAGACCACAATGAACAGGAAGAGCAGAAAGAGGAGACTGATGATGGACTTCATGGAGTTGAGCAGAGACACCACCAAGTTCCTCAGGGAGTTCCAGTACCTGTTGGGAGCCAGGCAGGGTGGTCAAGGACCTAGCTATGGCTAAGGCAGCCTGTTCAGAGCTAACCTCACACTCACCCAGGCTCTCTGCAGTCACAATGCTCTATAGCCTTCTGAACCCTAAGGGCCCACACCTGCAAATGAGACTGAGCTTCTCTCCAGGGTTCCAGACATGCCATCTGTGACTTAGTACAGGCCCATGGGGACAGCAGAGACACTGCCTGCCTCACTAGACTTAGGTCATCCTCCCTAACCTACATCCAAGTCTCTTTCCTTGGCAGAATGAAGTAACCACCATCAGTGCCCACTCTTGGGCTTTGTTCTTCCTTGGCTTCCACCCTAAAATGCCCAGTCAGCCACCCAGAGCCAACACCAGCACCAGGTGAGATGCAAACTACTTGTCCTCAGCCCACACTGGAAGAAGGAACTACAGTAACCAGGTCTTCCTTGCGGGCTAGGTAGAGTACCCCCTCCACTGAGGACCAGGACACAGGCCACAAGTGCATAGGGAGGGGCACCCCTCAAGGGCCCCTATCCCACTCTCCTGCCTGATCCCTCCACCAGGGAACAGGCTCCACCTGCCTCTGCTGAAGGCCTTGCTGCTAAGTGGGACTCCACCTACCACCATCCTCAGACAGGCTCTTCCAGGAGTCCACAGCACCCTTCCCTCCAGAGACCCAGGATCACCCCAGTCCCCCAGATGCTCCTTTCCGCATGCTCTTCCTGCCCTAGGGGAGGTGGCCAGATGGACACTGGCCTCCCCCATGCTCACCATGCCACTGGGCACCCCAGGGCCCTAGAGCAGTGTCCTGCTCCCCAGCACCCATGTCAGAGGCCCCGTCACTTTCCATGGACTCTGATGATGTATGTGAGGGCAGGTGGCAGGAGTGCTGGAAAACCGACTCTCAACCAGGACACACAGGGGCCAGCTTGCCTGGAGACAAGGTCACCTGCCTCTTGTCAGGAAATGGAATCCTGAAGGCGGAGGCGAAGGCATGCTCTGTGGACACTTCCCAGGGCTCTGGGTTCTCGTTAGTACATCATCACAGGAGAGTAACCAAAATGGAGAACTCGCTGCAGGAAGCCCTCAGCGCATGTCAGTGCCAAACTGCACTGAACTCTGACCCAAACCTCTTCCTCATTCACACCTCCACATCTTCAGATGCTCTTTGCTTTAAAACAGCTGGAAAAGATCAGCAGAGCTCCACCCTGCCTGGGGAGGTGACCTACCAGCCCAGGCCCTACACTTCTCAGTGCTGACACTCTAGTGTCTGGGCCCCAGCTACCAGGGCCACCACTCAGAGTCTGACCTCAGGATGAGCTGGGCCCACAGTCTGGCCATAGTGACAGTCGCTGAGGCCACTGTGAAGAAGGTCTTTCTCTGCTGTCCCCAGTACAACTCTGCAGTGAGCAGAAGGACCTGCGCCCAGTTCTCTCACCAACTGCACCATACTACCTTCTGGGCCTTGATGTCCTCATGGGCAAAATGGAGCAATTCACTTCCACAGTCAGGACTCAAGTGAGCCAGGACTGGAAATAGCATCTCATCACTGTCACTGTCACCAAGGCTTGGGGTCAGGCAGGACGGTAGAAAAATCAAGCCAGGAAGCAGGAGGCTTTTGGGCTCTAGGCCAGCTCAGGTGAAGTCAGGGGCTGCAGAGTGGGTGGGCAGGCGCAAGGCAGGGAGATAACTTCCATCTGAGAACATCCATTTCCTCTACTAAAACAAGTTACCTCTGAAGGTTGGTAAGACGAACTGGTGGTTTTGAGAGGTGGTGTGAGTTTGTGGGGGCACACTAGCAAGGACCAGAAGCGAGCTGCAACCCTGGGCCAGCAGGGAGTGGCCTGTGAGGCCTCGCATGCAGGTGCCCTGGTGCGTGCTGTTTCACATCTAGCTTTTGGCATTCCAACCATAAGCCATGGGGACAGGCTCTACACACTGTGGATTCCCAGGCACCAGCATGCTGTCAGCCAACCTCACACACTGCCTCCCTCCACCCTCCGTCTCCCCAACCCAGAAGCACACAGTAACATACTTTGTGACCTTGAAGATCCGCAGCAAGCGGAGGGCCCTCAGCACGCTGATCCCAAAGGAAGTTCCTGGTTTTATGGCAGCCCAGACCACTTCAAAGATGCTCCCCACAATGACCTGCAAGAGGCATGGCATCAGCCCTGGATTTCACCTGCATCGTGCCCATGTGTACACACAGGGCACGCCCAGGAACACGCACGTGTGCTGTGTGTGTGCATCTGCACAGCTATGTCTCTGCAGGAACTCACCCTACATCTTCAAGCCAGACAAGGCAGTGCAGATACGTAGGTCAGAGGACCTCCATCCTCTCTCCCACACCATCCCAGACACAAGGAGGGCACAGGACATAGAGCAAGACCAGGCCTGCTGGTGTCCTGACAGACTAAAGCCACCCGTCTAGTGCCTCACCCGTGCTTTATCACAGCCGCAGGACACTGCGTCTTCTTAAACACCTCTGGGGCTGGGAAAGCACCCTGGAAAACTCCCACAACCCCCTCCCTGGTCCTGAACACTGTAAGCTAGACCTTTCTTCTCCTAGTGACCAGGAGCCAGATGTGCCACCAAGAACAGACTGTGGCGAGCCTGCCCCTCTGTTTTGCTGCAGGATTACCTCATGCACAAAGGAGATGCCCCCCACCCTCGCCGCCTTCAGTTGCCTTTCATATGGGCAAGGAAGGCCAGTCTGGTCAGTGCTGGAGCAAGGGGCTCAGAAAGGACAGACCAAAGAAAGTGGAGCCTAGCAGCCCTTTACTACCTTCCCCTGGACAGGACACACAGGGTCACCTTGAATCCTCTCCCAGGCTACCACACCTCACAGCACACACTCAGGGCTCACAGTCAGTATAAAGGAACACCTCCTCAGCTTGGGCAGCTTCTCCCTCGGGGACCTCAGTTCTCTCAGACCACAGGCTGCCACACTGGGAGGAAAAGCAAGCAGCCTACAGAGAGGCTACCTGACCCAGAACCAAGACTGCATCCCTGGTCTTCAACTAGGCTGAAACCTCAGGAGAGACCCTGGGCCAGAGGCACCCAGGCAGCCACACCCAGATTCCTGACCCACAGTGTGAAAAGTAAGAGATTTTAGCAGTTTTGAGTTGTTAAGCTCTAGAATAATCTGTTTGTTAGCTATGTGCAGACTGCCCCATATCCTGGAGTCCAGTCGTGCAGGTCGGAAGGTAGAAGTGTATCTGCAAAGCCAGTGCACCTCTGACACCCACTCAGTGCCAGGACCTCTGCCCCACTAGCTCCTGCCTGTCTTTGTGGCCAGAGAGGCAAAGGGTGAGAGCCCTGCAGTCTTCCCACAACCACTCAGAATCACAGGTGCTGATCCCAGAGGGCCCTGGGCAGCCTGGCACAGTGTGAGCCACTAGCAGCTGGGCAGTCTTGGCCAGGCATGGCCTGTCTCAAGTCTCTCATCTGCAAAGTAGGGGCCATGGGCACAGTGGCTGCCAACTGCAAGATGCAAAGGGAGAACATTACAAATCCAAGTTGAGCTGAATTTCCAGCTGAGGTTCTCCTTCACCCTGTCACCACAAACCAGAGAGCTCCAGGTTCTTCTATAGGGCATGGGCTCTGCTTGCCACCTAACCTCTGGGCAGGTAGTGACAGGGCCAGGCCCAGGCTCTGGGCTCAGCACCAGGGATACATCCTGTGTGATCTGTAGGGCCAGGTAAGGTGACACTTGTGTGGCCCTTGCCCTCTGTCCCAGCCTGGACTAAAGGTGAGCCACAGAACATGCCCTAAGGCTTCCCTGACCTGAGAGATTGGGAAGGGACCACCCCACCCCTAACCCCACCCCAAGGAGGGTGGCCTATCACTTCTCCCTTGGTGGCAAAAGTACATATGCAGAGTCCTGCCTGGGGGGGAGCCAGAGTACAGTGGGGGTCAGGAGCTCAGCCCAAGCTCTCCAGGGGAGACTGAGCCTGCAGTAGGTCCCAGGTCCCAGCACAGAGGGTGCTACAGAGCCTTGATTGGTCATGAGCAGACAGGAGGGGTCAGAGGCAAGAAGGGCAACATGCTGCAGTGGGAGGGGCTGTAGCAGGCACCCCCAACCATCAGGCCAACCCAGGACAGGCCTGTGCTGACTCCCTGCACCTGCCAGTCTCTGGGTAGCCTTCAGGACCTACAGGATCACAGATCTCAGCCCACACTGGGCACACATGGGGAAGGGGGTTTTGCACACCCAGGTAAGGACACATTCAGACCACCCAGACCCAAGTAGGCTTTTTTTAAATTTTTAAATGTATTTATTTATATGTGGTACTAAGAATGGAAACCAGTGTCTCACACATGCTAGGCAAGCACTTTACCAGCAAGCTATAGCCCAGACCCTTAAGTAGTCATCTTTAATGAGGCACCTCCCTTACCCCAAAGTCAAAGCAGTTGAAGGAGGACCGGAAGTAGCTTCTGGGCCCCAGGCCATACATCTTCAGGGACATCTCTGTGAGGAAGAGACCCAGGAAAACAAACTCTGCAAAGTCTAAGAGAAGTCGGAGAAGAGGGAGGTTAGCACAAGGCTCCTCCCACCCTGCCTCCAGCCCAGACTGGAGGACACCACATTTCTGGTTGTTTCCAGGGCTGAACCTTCCAGGCCTGGTTTGCATCCTGAGCTCTGAAATCTCATTCCAGGACAGGGACACAAGAGATGCTGTTCCAGTCTGGAGGATAAGGGCCCAGGGCTAATGGGACACAGCTCCGGGATCCAGAGTCATAGGAAACACCTTCAGAGGAGGGCCTGCAGATGTGCAGCTGGGAACAGCCTCTGGCGGGGCCTGCACCACTGGCTCCTCACTCTGATCACAGGCAGAGCCCCTCAGCCTTGTCAGGGTCTCCCTGTCTTTCCACAAGAGCTTCCTGGCAGCCCTCCTTAGGACCCCACAGCACCGCGTTTAACTTTGACTTTGTTCACGTGTTTGCCCCACATAAGGAGAACTCCTCTACACCTGAACATCTTCCAGGCCTGTCCAACACACACTCCCAGGGATCATTGGCTCTGCCAAGGGCTTTGGTGATCCCACTCCTGGCTCTGCCAATGAGTAGGGGCATGATGGAGAGGGTTCAACCCAGGAGTCCCAGAGGTAATCCTGCTGACCCTCCAGGGCCTCAGGGTTAAAGGGAGGCCACACTGAGGCTGGAGGGCCCACAAATGCCCACTAGCCTAGCCCAGACAGGAGTGAAGTCAGAGCAAGAGAAGGCAGTGACTCCAGAGGCAGTCCCAGGCCTCCGACATGTATCACCCAACCAGCCTGCCCTTGGCAGGAGTCAGTGGTCGCCATCCCCTAGCTCCTGGGAACCTGCTGCCTGAGCAGGCCAGATGTGGGGAGTGGGCCTCAATGAGGCCCTCAGAAGCCCAGACCTCAGAACCAAGCCACTCTCATTGATCCCCCTCCCAGAGGACTGTACTGGGATCAGGAGACCAAAGGCACTGTGGCCGCTGGTCAGGGCAGCAGCTCCAATCCCAGAGCACGGCCACAGAGGATAAGGCCATGAGAAGGAAGGGAGGCCAAGCTGGGGAGCCAGTCGCTGGGCAGATGCCAGCTTATCCCCCTGGGTTTTTGCTGAGACATGGGGCCTTAAGGCAGACACAGCTCCTAAAACACAGATGATGGAAGATGGGTAGCACACTTCACATCCCTGTGCACCCTGAAATCTGCCTTCCCCACAAGTCCCCAAGGCTACACAGTAACGATCCAAACACTTCAGTAAGGAGTCCGTTTATAGCAGCCCAGATCCAGGTAAGCAGAGATGCTAGTTCCAGGCCCACTTAAGCACTGAGCAAACAGAGAGGGGAGGACCCCTCTTCTACCGCCTAAGCCCATGGCCAGCCAACTCCTGGGAGCAACTCATGCCCAACAAGCCTGGCCCCTGAAGCCAGCCAGGAGGTCACCAGGCACTTTCACTGAGTATGGGATGATAGCAAAAGGCCAAGAAGCCTACTAGGGAAAGCCAGAGCCCATATCAGGCACAGATGCCACTGACCCTTAGGCAGGGCCTTCTTGGGACAAGAGGACCAGCCCCAACCAGGCCTGTTGCTGCCTCAGACAGATGCCTGGGCCTGGTTGTTTCAGCAGCAGGTATGAGAAGCAGTAGGAAAGCTGTACCCCTCACAGTCCAGCTCAGAACAGGAAATATACAAGTAGCCTGCAGAGTCCTAGTGCTCCTGGCCACAAAAACCTCAAACTCCCTTTACATGGTCACAAAGGCCTTTGCCTGTGCCATCAGTTTCCCATGAAGCACCCTGGGAGAGAAGAGAAATAGGACTATGGCCACCCCCATGGGGACCACCAGCAAGGCTGCCCAGGCCCTCAGCTTGTTCCTAGAAGACCAAAGTGAGAGAACTTTGCAAGAAACAGGTACAAAATTGGCCAAACTTTAGAGAAAGGGACTAGGCACTAGAAGTCCCCAGCATCCTGTTGAGATGGCCTGAGCTCACACACTCAGCCTCCCCTCTGAGGCCACAGAAGAGGATCATCCATTCTTGCACCAGCAGGCACAGTGCTGCTAGTGCAGCAGATAGCACCCACCCTGCTCTCCAGGAGTTCACAGGCAACAGGGCAAGCAGAGGAGGAAGGTAAAGGTGTCCTGTGAGAGGCCACCGTGCTCTGGGAGCAGAGGGGAGGGTAGAGAAGTGTGTCCTGTGGATGTGTAAAGCCTCACGGGGGCTCACAGATGGTGAGGCCCCACAGCTCCCTTTCACTGCTTAAGCCTCAGTTTCCAAAGTCCTGACGGGGGCCTCAGGGTGGGTCCTTGGTGGATGGGCAGGTGCACAGAGCTCACTGACTACAGGGTGGCAGGCCTTAGGCCAGGGCCCCACTGTGAGCACTGTGAAGCTGGTCTACACAGGACCTCTAGAAGCCTGCTCTGCCCTACAGGATCAGACAGGGCCCCAGGCACTATCAGCAGAAAGGCTTAGACTCAGCAAATGCCCACCTCTCCCTCCAGCCGTTTTCCCTCTGTGAAGACAATGGACCCAGGAATTCCAGGAAAACAGCAGATTCACAGTCAGTTTGCCTGCGGCCTGGCCCAAGGCTGGGGTACTTCCAGCCCACACTTGCACCTTCATACATGTAAGCAGGTCATGCAGGCTCCCACTCACACAGGCACCCCACCTTCCCAGCCAGCAGACACCCAGAAGGCAGGAGTGACCATGAGAGCAGCTGGGCACCACCAGGCCCAGCCAGCTGGGGGGAAGAAGAGAATCCACGGTCCCCACCCAACCCCAAGGGTAAGGAACCTAAACCTGACGGTCCAGGAAGACCCTGAACTCACTCCCAAGCAAAGTCCCAAGATGCCAAGCTACCACTCTCAGGATCCAAAACTGGGGACCAGAGCAGGCTGCTGCATGACACAGCACTGCCCCCCAACCTTCCCTGGGACATCTGAGCCAGGCTGTCTCAGCTCCTCATCCTTCTGCTACCTCTTTACCCTTCCCCTGAGAGGCAAGTAACAGATTCCTTTTTTCTTTTTCTTTTTTCCCAGAACCAGGGAGTAAACYCAGGACCTCATAATTCTAGGCAAGTGCTCTGCCACCGACAGACCCAGCAGCTGAAGCCCAGGCTGCATAAGTGTGCATGCGCATGAGCACATACGTGGGCACACGCATGACCGTGGGCCCGCCTACTGCAGAGCTGCCAGCACCCACCCAGCTCATGAGAGCCCTTCAGGGGCTGAGTGGGCCACACAAGTTGGACAGCTGGGCTAGGACTGTGCCAGGATGCTTTCAGGGTTCAGCAAAAATTCTACCAAGTGCCTCAGGCAGCTTCCAGAGAGAGAGGGAGACCTTCATGGGAGCCCCAAAGAGCTCTTGCCCCCAGGCCCACTGCAGACACCAAGCAGGGTGAGTGCAGCTGACCCCTGGAGGACAGGGAGGCAAAAGCACTGACCACAGGATGGAAACATCAGTGGATTCTTCAACACTTCACAAAGTAAGACAGCAGAGCCAAGCTGTGCTCCTGGGGCCACAGAGCCCTGGAGTATGCAGGACCAGCTTCAGAGTGCCAGTTCCAATCCTGGACAGACACAGGAGGCCCCAACCACCGGTAACCTTCCTCTTTGCCTTCTCCTAACTATAGCCGGGGCCAAGACAAGCATGACACGAATCCCTGTTACTGTCCTGGGCTCATGGACACAGGATAGCAAGTCATCTCTGGTCATAGCAGTCCTGATGCTCATATGTCCAACCCATTGTACAGGAGAACGTAAGTATCCAGAAGAGCCTTGTGACAGGACTTGAGCCTTGTGCAGCCAGGACTCTGACTCCTCGGGAATCCAGGCCAGGAGCAGCACAGAATGAAGTGCCTAGCCTATGGGTCTGAAACCCTTCCGAGGGAGGACACAGGTGTGTTTGGCCTGGCTCATCCCTGGCCATCCCACACACTTCCTCCCCTGGGCAACCCAGGACCTCTCAACTCATCACACTACTGATGCAGGGCATCTGGCCACATCCGTTGGGCTGCCTGGAACCCACCTGCAGGCATGGAGGGGAGCCCTCAGGCCTGGGACACCACCCAGGCTCCAGCAGAGGCCCCTGGGGACTGACCAGGTCTGTGCAGCAGACAGGAGTTGCGCCCAGGGTGTTCCAGGCAGAAGAGTCGTGGACCAGGATTTCCAGGCTGCAGAGCAGATGGGTTTGGGAGGTGCCCTGGGAGAGGGAAGGGCGGGGCAGGGTACATACACAGAGCTGTGGTGAGCCGCTGCGGCTGGTTGTAGTGCACCATGGCCACACAGAGTGTGTTCAGAGCCACCACACACAGCACCACCCAGTAGAAGCTTTGCGCCTTCACCATGCGCCGGATGAAGAACCGGAACATCTTCTCCTTCCTCCGGAAATACGATGAACTCTCTGTCTTCCCACTTTTGAGGCTGGCACGGGCAAAGGGGGACCCTGCAAGACAAAAGGCTTGCTAGAGCTCAGGGACCAGCAGCCCCATTCTCAGAGATACCCTCAAGGACAGCCTGCCCCATCCCCTGCTCACAAGCCATTATGCACTAACCCTTGCCACCCCCCTGTGGGGAGTCCAAAGGTCTCCATGATGCCTATGGTCCCTGGCTGCCAACGGAAAGCTGCATTGGTCTGGACTGGATGGTCACTGTCTCTGGTCCCGGCACGCTGGCTACCTTCCAGAAGGTAGCCCTGATGCCCTGGGCACCCTTGTAGGCACTCCAACCTTTTCCCAAGAGAGATAAATCTGACAGAGTCAGCCCCTCCCCAAGATCCATCCCTCCAGTACACCCTGCCCCCCAACTCAGGGTCAGCATCCATTGGCTACCTGTTTCTTAAGCATCTCTCCTGGACATGCATTTGTTCTTGGTACATGGCTGATGTCCTGTCCATAAAGGCCAAAAGCTGTCTGGGAAGTGTGCTGACCCTGCTCTCACCTGACTCCTTCTTCTCTCCCCAACGCACACCCAAACCGTCACCTCTGCTGCTTTGATCTTAGCAGTTCCCAAATGTAAAATGCTCCCTTCCCCAGGCTTCCTTTCCATGGTGGCTCCTCAGCTGGGGGTCTTAGCTTCAATGTCACCATTACAAATCATCTTTCTCTGGACACTCCATCTAAAGTAGGGTCCTCCCTGCCCACACCGTGCAGTGATACCCACCTCATGGCCACCTATCACCATTTGCTCATCAGCCTATCCTTATCCAGCTCCCTGAACAGTAGCCAAGTTGAAGTTTTCATCCCTGAGCCCCCTTCCTGCATGTGCACACACACTGGGCCCCCAGGTAAGAAGGCCAGAGAGGGCAAAGCTACTGCACGGCACACACAGCTAGGGAGAGCAGGGAACCACCTCAGCGGGGGGCGGGGGGTCTCCATTCTGTCCCCATGTAAGGAAGACCTCGCAGGGATGTGTCCTTCACAACTGCCTGCCACAACCACACCCACCTGGGCCCATGACATACATGATGTCATGGTATGGATGTGAGGTATCCCCAAAAGCTCATGTGTGAGACAAAGCAAGAAGGTTCAAAGGGGAAGTGATTGGGTTTTGAGAGCCTTCATCAGTGACTTAATCCCCTGATGGGGTTAACTGAGTGGCAACTGAAGGTAGGTAGGTGTGGCTGGAGGAAGTGGGTCCCTGGGGGTGTGGCCTTTGTCATATATGTATATCTATATGGCCAATGGAGTCTCTCTGCTTCCTCATCAGGTGAGCCACGTGCATACACCACACTCTTCCATCATGATGTTCTGCCTCACCTTGAGCCCAGAGGAATGAAGCCTGCTGCATATAGACTGACACCTCTGAAATTTGAGCCCCAAGATAAACTTTTTCTCCTCTAAAATTGTTCTTATCAAGTTTTTTAGTCACAGCAGCAAAAAAGCTTAAAACACAAGAACCCAGAGCATGTCAACCGCTATGGCACTTGCACAAAACCACACCCCACATTGCCTGCAGAGCTCCCAACACACGCTCAAGGGGTGCCGGGGGTGGGGCAGGAGCCAAGGATCCTCTACTGCAAGCTGACAGGGACTCTTGCTTCTCGTGCCACCCACACTCCAGGGCATGGCCAGAACTGCTTCAGCCTCAGGTCCACAGGAGCCTGGGCACCCAGGTAGAAAGTGGCTGCAAGGCCAACGCTCCCATGAGTACTTCCCAGGTCCTGCTCTTTGGGATGGGGGCGCAATGCCAGCAGACAGCAATTCTTAGCAAGCAGCCACTGTGTGCTCAAGTCTGCTGTGGGCAGTGGCTCCGGCCCCATTCTTGGAGGAAAGCAGTATCTACAGTAAATGCAGAAATGCATCATCAAATGGTAGTCTCGGTGGGAAGACCACAAGATCAAACTGCTTCTCAGCTTTCTGAACCTTCCAGACCTAATCAGCATATAGTCCCTATGATGAAAAAGCTTATTTCAAGAAAAACAGACCTGAAATCTTCAAGGACTAAAACAACCCAAGAAAGCTAAATATCAATAAGAACAAGATACAACTGAGAGCACATCATATAAAGGAATCCAGATGTTTCTAAGAGGAATTCACCAGTCAATACGCAGTCCCTGTGACCCTTGTCAGTACTATTTGCTCAACAAACATGCACAGGCCATTTGTTCCAGGCCCTGAATGAAGCCAGAAAACAGAACGACCAAGATCTACCCAGCTCTCAGTGACTTTCTAGAGGCCAGGGAGGAGGAAGAAGAAAACCAGTGTCTTTCCAGCCTGGCTGGTGTGTCCCAGCATGGAGTAGCAAAAGTGACATGGGCTCAAGCAACATGCTGACATGGACCCAAAGGCTGCCACCCTTGACCTTAGGGTTGTGTGACCTGGTGCACGTCTGTCACACAAGCCTGGAAGCCACTCACTTGGCAACAGATCACAGGCCACCTGTACCTTTAAGGGTCAGCTGGGATTTAGTGAGACAACTCTGAGTGGAGGGCTAAACATGGGGTGCAAAGAATAGGCTGACAACAGCATGTGGGCAGGGAGACGTGAGAGGCCAGCCCCTGAGACATAGCCATCCTCAGCTGGAGGGCAACCAAGGGGACCCAGCTGTGCTGGGAACACAGAAACCCAAGAATGGCTTCCTTCCCTCCCAGCCAGCCCCAAGCCTGTCCTGACCAAGGACCAAGGCCTGCACACACTGAATGCAAGTATGTCCTTGGGCTCTGCTAGGGACTCAGAGGAAAGTCCATTAGTCCCAGGGATCCAAGTACAGCACCCAACTCACCACACAAAACAAAGCTTAAAGAGAGAAAGAAAACAAACTTCCCTCCTGAAATTTCTCAGCAGGTAAAATGAAAGGAAGTTCACTCTGGAACTCAGTGAGACAACTCTGAGTGACTGGAAGGTGAGGCAGAGGAGGGAGCCATGAGGCAAGGGCAGAGGTACAGAAGAGCAAACCAGAGACACACTGAAGGGCAGTGACTCCTAGCAAAGGAGCAAGGAAAGGAGACGACCATTATAAGTGGGGAAGCCGCTCCTCACGGCAGCAGGGTGGAGCTACAGGTCAGGGCCTGGGTGTCAAGCTCCAGCAGGGAACAGACCACAGCAAGGTCACTCACGGTGAGGACCAGGGAAGGCCTCCTGACAATAGGGAGAACTCAGTCCCCACCTACACACCCTGGCAGAGTCAAGAAGGAGAGGGAAGGGCTGTGGAGCTGGGGCTGGAGGAGGGGCAGGAGGCCTCCGAAGGGCGCAGCAGGGCGCATGCACATGCGGATGCTCCACCTGGGGCAGCAGCGAGGGGCCCACACCTGGTCCAGGACAAGAGGGGGCCACGCACAGGTCATGCCTCCTCAAGTTAGGAGTGGAGCAAAATAAACAGAAACAAAAATGCAGCGATGGGAACAGTCCATCATGGTGGTAAAGATGGTGAAGCGGCAAGCTGGAGTGGTGAGAACACTGTTCCCAACCACGCGGGCAGGAAAGGGAAGACGGCCTCTGTGGAGGGCAGAGGTGGAGACCAGAAACTAACGAGGGGTGGGACAGCTCGGAAAAAAGCAGAAGTCCCTCAAAACGGAGGGCACAGCCATGCGGTGCAGCCACGAGGAAGAACAAGACCTGTGCACCAGGCACCTGCTAAGTCAGACGGATCCTCCATCAGAAACAGACATCACACTGGGTTTAGAAAGAGCACAGCCAGAAAACCATGATTCTTATGGTGCTTGGGCCAGGCATGGAGGCGCAGGCTGCGATCCATTACTGGGAATGCTGAAGCAGGAGGATCTCAAGTTCAAGGCCAGCCTCAGCAAATAGCAAGACCCTGTCCCAAAATAAAAAATAAAAAGGGCTGGGGATGTGACTCAGTGGTAGAGGGTGCTGAGATCGGCCCTCAGTACAGGGGCTGGGCGTGGAATGGAGGATAAATGTTAAAGAAGTGTGGAAAATGAAAGAGAAAGAAGGGTACCAGGCAAATGCAAGCTAAAACAAAAACAATGACCTTGGCAAGAAGCAGATGGTGACATTTAATGCCAGGCAAGGGGGACTGTCCAGGGGAGGAGCTAAACAGAGAGAGAAAGCACTGTGTGAAGAAACACAGGTAACCTGTGAAATCAGAACGGCTGCACCAGGAAACCACCTGCTGGCCAAGTCACCAGCAAAAGCCAGGAACACCAGGGACTTTGTTAAAAGCCCCATAGGAAGACCTGTTGGGACCACAGACCTCAGGGACAGACACCAATATGCCTGGGATCCATGCAGAGCCCAGCCACAGTCTGATAGCTCTCAGATACACTACACTCTCTCTGTTAATGAAACTTTCTAAAATCAGTTAGGAACATACAATCTGAAAACACACAAGTGTACAGACTTACAGGCCACGTTTTCAATCTGATAAAATTAGAAGAGAAGGATGATCAAAATGCTGTACCCACTTATCAGTTAAGAAGCACACCCTTAGATAGTCTTGCAAGAGAAAAGCAAAGGGGCCAGAAGGAGGTACCACAGCACACTTTTATACAGAGGGAGGAGGAGAGAGAGGGAGGAGGAGAGAGAGGGAGAGAGGGAGGGGTAGAAAGGGGGAGAGAAAGAGCGTGTGGGAGAGAGTGGGAGAGAGGAAGGGAGAAAGAAAGAGAGAGGGAGGGAGAGAGTGGGGGAGAAAGAAAGGGAGGGGGAGAGAGAGGGAGAGAAAGGGAGAAAGAAAGGGAGAGAGAGGGAGAAAAGGAGAGAGAGAGATGGGAGACAGAAAGTGTGTAGGTGAGAGGGAGAAAGAAAGAGACAGGGCCGGAGAGAGTGTGGGAGGGGAGAGGGGGAGAGAGAGGGAGAAAGAAAGGGAGAGAGATAGACAGAAGGAGGGAGAGAGGGAGGAGGAGAGAAAGAGCGTGTGAGGGAGGGGGGAGAGAAAGAGGGAGAAAGAAAGAGAGAGGGAGGGAAAGAGTGTGGGGGGGGTTCTTAACAAAGCATCGATTACAAAAGTAGTCACCATCTTTCCCGCCTGCATCCCTGAGTCCCTGGCTCCCAGTTTTATCTCAGCTACACCCACGGATAATGCCAGCATTCTTTAAATTATGACAATCCATAGGAAAGAACTTTAAATCTTCTTCAATTTATGTTACAAAATCAGAATTCAAAAACCTAGGTAAAGTAGGAATAGAAGGAAATTTTCTAAATATAACACACATGGGATAAATAATGGAGCTTGGGCACAGGTCTATAATACTTTGACTCTAATTACCAACAAAAAAGTACAAACAGCCTGACAGAAAAACAAGCAGGGCATCTGAGGAGTCGCCAACTACAAATCCCAACGGGAGACTAAGAGGAGGCATCCAGCCATGAGCCGTCTGGCTGTAGAAGTGACAGTCCCAGGGAAGACCTCAGGAACCAGCGGCCACATCAGCAGGGTGCAGTCTGAGGCGGGGACACTGCAAGGCCCCAGGGCCCCCACAGAACCTTCAGGCAGCACCTCCCACAGCAAGAAGAAAGGACAGAAGATGCCAGGCAAGGGAGAGGGCATCAAGTTCCCTGGGAGAGCTCAGCACAGAGGGCCAGAGTCACTGGCAAGGTTGTCGGGGTGACCACGGCACCATGGGACCAAAGGCGGCAGGGATCTGCGACTGGGATGGGAGAGACTACACGCTACAAAGGACATGTGTCCATGCCTGTGTGTGTCCTCTGAGGGAGAGAGTGAGTGTGTGTGTGTGTGTGTGTGTCCTAAGAGGGAGAGTGTGTGTGTGTGTGTGTGTGTGTATGTATGTCCTCTGAGGGAGAGAAAGTGTTTGTGTCGTGTGAGGGAGAGAGAGAGAGAGAGAGAGAGAGAGAGAGAGAGAGAGAGAGTGTGTGAGTGTGTGTGTGTGTCCTCTGAGGGAGAGAAAGTATGTGTGTGTGTCCTAAAAGGGAGAGTGTGTGTGTGTGTGTGTGTGTATGTCTTCTGAGGGAGAGAGAGAAAGTGTGTGTTTGTGTCCTCTGAGGGAGAGAGAGAGAGTGTGTGTGTGTGTGTGTGTATGTCCTCTGAGGGAGAGAAAGTGTGTGTGTGTATATCCTCTGAGGGAGAGAGAGAGAGTGTATGTGTGTGTGTGTTAGTGTGTGTGTGTGTCCTCTGAGGGAGAGTGTGTGTGCGTGTGTGTCCTCTGAGGGAGAGTGTGTGTGTGTGTGTGTCCTCTGAGGGAGAGTGTGTGTGCGTGCGTGTCCTCTGAGGGAGTGTGTGTGTGTGTGTCTTCTGAGGGAGAGTGTGTGTGTGTGTGTGTGTCCTCTGAGGGACAGTGTGTGTGTGTGTGT